ATTTATTATTCATATATTTATTATCCTATATATTATATATTTATTATTGATATATATACTATCCTATATAATATATATTTGTTTATATATTTGTTTATGTATTTGTTTTATTTTTTATTCAATTTTTATTAATTTGTTATGTTTTTGTTTATGACGTATTCATGACTTTGTATGTTTTCTTATGTTTCAATGTTGTTTTAAGGACGATCGTCTTTGTGAAGTGTCCTTGAGTGGCAAGAAAGGCGCTTTTTAGAAATAAAATTGATACTTATTATTATTTTTCTTTTTTTTTAAAAATCAAATCACAAAAACTTTCACGGTCCAGTTTAATCAAACTGGATCTAAACCGGAACCAAGAAAAAAAAACTCAACCTGGACCAGAATAAAGAAAAACCCTCAATCTGAACCAAACCTCGAAAAATAAAGAACCAGAACCAGGAGGACCCAAACTGGTTCCTCAGAGACAACGAAAACATTTTATTTAACACTAACTTATTTCTCTGACCGACACCAAAGCGCCGTTTGATCTTTTTGATGTCTTTTTAAACACAATTCAACACAACCAAGCAGGAAAAAGAAACCTCAATCTGAACCAGAACCAAGAAAATAAAAACACATCACAAGCAAAACCAAGAAAATAACCTCAATCAGAACCAGAATAAAGAAAAAAAAACTAAATATGAACTAAAACCAAGAAATAAAAACACGATCAGAACCAGAACCAAGAAAAATAAAGAACCAGAACCAGGAGAAACCTCCAGGAGAACCCTCAGAGACAACAAAAACATTTTATTTGACACTAACTTATTTCTCTGACTGACATCAAAGCGCCGTTTGATCTTTTTGACGTCTTTTTAAACACAATTCAACACAACCGACCAGGAAAACTAGAACCTGTGCGGCTTTTTAGGACCAAACAGCCTCACGGGCCGGCTTGTTTGTGCACCTGTGTGCGCCTGGTTGTGTGTCTGTGTGCGCCTGGTTGTGTGTCTGTGTGCGCTTGTGTCCCTCTCCTGGAGTGTGTGTGTGCCCCGGTGCATGATGGGAGTCGAGCGGCTCCCTGGGAGCCCTTTCGGGAACAATAGCAGCTTATTATCGGGACTCCCTTGTTTCCCTCTTCTCGGAACTCGGCGTCCTAGTTGTAACACGATCACTGTGACAACCGTCGCCACGGCAACGGAGACACAGGTAAACAGGGGGGGGGGGGGGGGGGGGGAGGGGGAAGGGTTGTGAGGAAAAGCAGAGCTGACTCAGGCCGGGAATATATGCCAGA